TCCTCATCATGTGTTACAGGTGCAAGGAGAACAAGTGTGAATTATTTACCCTTCATATAGACTTCTATACATCTGATTAAGAAAAACACCCACAGGCATATCCACACCCACATTCACAACCATAACTACACTGACACCTACACTCACACCTGCACCCATATCTACACCAACACTCACATCTACACCCATATTACAACCATACCTACAGCCACATCTACACTCACATCTATATACACCTTCACCCACATCTATATACACCTTCACCCACATCTATATACACCTTCACCCACATCTACACCCACCTTATAGCCCACTTACACTTAGACTCACACCGACACCTACACCTACACCTACACTCACACCACCCACATGTACACCCATGCCTTCACCCACATCCAGATAATACCTGGAAACTCTTCTGTTTGGCACAAACACATGATGGGGTTCAACTGACTTGCCAGTCAGAACCAATATTGTTGCCCAAAACTCACTCAGTAAATGCACATTACTTGTATTACATCCCCACTCAAAAGTTAAGAAAATGTAAGCAAATTTTGGCTGTAAAATAAACACTCATAAAACAAAATATATTACATAGCAATGGTAATTTTCAGAGTGTGTTGCGTCAGTGTGAAGGAGGAGAAGGACTAGGACAGAATCTGCTTGTTGCAGCTGTTCTCATTACATTCCCACATCACTTCATTGCTCAGAATGCCATTGCCCTCACACATCTTATTGCAGGGTGCTCACACCCAGGTAAACCACTGATGTAATTATTTTCCATATTGATAATTATTTACCACAAAAGTTTAGATTTAAAAGTTGGCTGCATTGTAACAGATTTTTTATAACTATTATAACTCATTAGAATATATGAAGTGGATTGTTAGAATTTAACAACTCAGGATATTAGATTATATTTAGGGAGAATGTTAACCCATCAGCGACGGGTAAAAATTTTGTCAAGTTTATGTATGCACCGGCTTGTTGGCGCGCACTGGCAGTTTCCCCTGTTTGTGCCCGGCTCGATCGGTAGTTTGCGAGCAACATATAGCACCTAAAAGCTTTTATTTTGCTAAAATTTATGAAAATATTAAAATTTTGAAGGTTTACCTTCACTTTAGGTGCCATTGCCTAAAATCTTTACCATATAAATGAAGCCGCTACTAGTGGAGATAAACAACCTCTGTCCGACGAGCCAGTAGCGCGGGAATGGACATGGCATGATGCCCCCGGAGTTTGGTCCACAACAGCCATGGCATGTACGTACGTGACACCCGGCGCCAATGGGTTAATGATATATCTTTTTAATATTTTTACCAAGATTTAATTCTATGCAACTGATTTTCAGGCAAAGCACAGCATGAATTGCTGTGTGACTTGGGAAGATGTGTGAATCAAGCTGCTCCATCCCAGCATCAGCAGCTGCCCTTACTGAATGCTGTTTGGAAATTTGTCACAAAAATACCAGATGTAAAAGATTACTTATCTACTGCTGGAATTTGGCTTGAGTTTACTGCAAAACATTTTACGGTAAATACAGATGTATACATGAACACAGAAAAATTGTATACTTCCTGAAGATGAAGATGTTCTTCTACACCTTTCTCTTCATCTGCTCATTAGATATTTATCTCCTCTTTTCCTCCTCACAAGAGAACCTTTGTTTCTTAGTCTATTTCACCCAACTCCCCTCCAGAAACCGTTTAAGACATCCAAAGCTTCCTAAAGATGACCCAAGGGAACACTCTGCTCCCTTATCCACCCCCAATCCCTCTGTTCCTACTCCTACATTTAAAGTATTTACAGATATCCATCCTCATTAAGTTCCCTCCATCTCCCTTCCTCCTACACCCTCCCAATATACACCATCCTCTCTACTGCTCCCACCTAAATTCTTCACCTACTTTTCCAACAGCCATCTAACACATTTTACCCTAATGTTTAACTCCTCTTTACCCTTTCTGACAGAATACTTTGCCATAGTGCTATATGACCTTTGATGTCTAGCACATAAATTTGTTTCAAACGTTAAACATTAAACATTGTCTTTTTTGCACATAATGCAGGCAAGAATATAAAATGTCGGTCTATGGTATTTTGCATCTTAAAAAGATTTTAAAGAAAACCCAGTGTAAATGAGCAAGAGTCATTTAGAGACATTTGAAATTATAGCACAGAGGAACATTGTCAAAAGAAGGTTTTTAAAAAATCACTAAGTGGACAGTAAGTTTACAATTTAGATTTGATAAGTGAAATAGCTGAGTTGCAAGTATAAGGGATTATCATATGAAACTTGTTCAAATGCCATTTACATCACACTATATGGAGTCTGTTTTCTACAGTATTATTTTAATTTTTTTACAACTTACTAAATTAATATATATATATATATATAATATATATATATATATATATATAATACATACATACATACATACATACATACATACATACATACATACATACATACATACATACATACATACATATATACATACATACATACATACATACATACACATACATACATACATACATACACACACACACACACACACACACATATATATATATATATATATATATATATATATATATATATATATATATATATATATATATATATATATATATATGTATGAGGAGGTGCTCTGGGTGGAAAGGATGCTTGCCATGTATGGGAAAAGTTTGACGCATTCAATGGTGGTTCCATCCATGGTGATGTTAGTTACTGGTGTATTCTCCCCTGGTCTTGGTTGGGCCAATATCTTAGTTTTGACCTTGTTAACTGTTAGGCCAAAACATGTGTAGGCAGCATGGAAATTATCCACCGATTCTTGGAGCTCTGCTTGAGTGTGGGCTACGGCAGCGTTGTCATCTGCATACTGTAGTTCCGTCACATTGATGGTGTTGGTGTTGCGCGGTGAACTGAGTCTGGCCAGTTTGAAAATTCCTCCATCTAATCTGTATTTTGTCTCAACCCCTGGGTTGTTGTGGGGTACTTCATATAGCATGGCAGCTAAGTATAAAGAGAAAAGGGTCGGCACCATTACACATCCTTGTTTTAGTACACATGTGATTGGGAAGGGGGCTGACAGGTTACTTTGATGGATTACTTTAGCTGTCATCCCATCATGTAGGGCTTTGATCATGTCAACAAAAGGCTCAGGGAATTAGGAATATGGGTTTCTGCTGTTCTTTTGATTTTTCCTTTAGTTGGTGAGCACAGAAAATCATGTCTATGGTTCCTCTAGATGGGTGGAAACCACATTGGGATTCTGGCAAGATTATCTCTGCTACAATTTGTAATCTATTTAGTAGGATCCTTGCCAAGATCTTCTCTGCAATTGACAGCAAGGATATCCCTCAATAATTCCCACATTCTCTTCTATCTCCTTTTTTGAAGATGGTGACAAGGAGTGCGTCTTTCCAATCATTTGGAGCCTGTTTTTCTTCCCATGCTTTTAGTATGAGGGAGTGAGGGCGCGTCTTCAGAACTAAACCTCCATGGGTCAGGAATTCAGTAGGAATGTTGTCCGGTCCCGCGGCCTTCCCATGGTGCATTTGTTTCAGTGCTGCATCAAATTCTCGAAATGTTGGTGGTAGGGACATCCATAGTTAGGGTGGGTGTTGTGGTACATTTTGGAGGAAGTCTTGTTGGGCTGATGAGTTCCTGTTCAGGAGGGTGTTGAAGTGTTCTACCCAACGGCTCTGGATCTCATAGTCTTCCGTGAGGATGGTGTTATCCGCTGCCAAAAGTGTCCCTGCAGCAGTGTGCTTGGGTCCGAAAATTTTCTTTGTGCCTTCAAAGAAGCTTTTAAGGTCCCTACTGTCAGCATAACCTTGTAGGTCTTGAGCCATTTGCTGCCACCACTCATTTTGTATTTCCTGAAGCCTGGCTTGACACTGTGACTTTGCTTGTGCATATTTAGCCATCTTTGGTTGGGAATTAGGGTCTTGGTCACGGGCAATTCGGGCTTTCCATTTGGTGTTAATGAGGGCCTCAATATCTTTGTCATTGTTGTCAAACCAATCCTGGTACTGTTTGCTCTGATAGCCGATTACGGTTCTTGCAGTTTCATTGATGGCATCTCGTATGTTAGTCCATTCAGCATCGACTGAAAGTTCTCTGGCTGGTAGGTTCTGCTGGATTGCTGCTTGGAAAGCTCGTGATGTATCAGGAACTTTTAATCTGCCAGTGTCATATCTTCTTTGGTGGGTGGGTCATTGGATGCACTGCCTAATGACTGGAATGGTGTGACTACCGATGTTTAGCCCACCTTTTATAGGGCCTTCCCCAGTTGGGGTGAGCAGTGGTACTCCTGAATAGGCCTGCTCAGTCACAGGTGCAGGACCGAGTTCCTGTGTGGTCACGGTCACAAGAGAAGCGGCCATCACTCGCTTGCTGCCAGTGCGTAAGTCCAGGCTAAGAGCTTCCCGCTACACCAAGCCTACTCCCACCACCCTTGTCCCACCGCCACTGGTCTCTTTTAGGTAGGGTTAGGAGGAGAGAAAGAGAAAGGAGATAAGGAGGGTGTTAGAGAGACAGTCGTTGGACTGAAAAGGCTGTTGGCGTGACTTTGTTTAGGGTGGACAACAATTTGCCAAAGTGATGCCCATACACTCTGGCTCCACACCTTCCTCCTGTGGCACACAGGTGTGATGTACAAGACTGTGGTGTGGAGTTGTATCAGTCTGCCGATAATCTAGTCAACCAGATCTCCACCAGAGTTTTCCTTCACCTAGCCTTTACCTAAGGCGGCATACCCTACAAGGCAGCAGGGGGATCTGATTATACCGGGGGGGTGTTTAAAGTGCATGCATCTTAGCCTTAGTTAGTCTTAACCTTCCTACAGCCTCTACTCTAAACTACTTTCATGCTACCTTCCTATGGTCCCCCCTGTTTTATTACAGAATGCATGCAAGTGACCGAGTGTCTGAAGGTATAATACACATATAATACGTTATATATATATATATATATATATATATATATA